CTCTGCAGAAAGTCTGAAACACAGCTGGGGAGGCCAGCTGCAGGGTTAAAGGCTCCCTTCAGGGCAGCTGGGGGAGGATTCACTTTCAAATCCATTTGTGCCCAAGATTCACCTGACTTTTGCCATCTCTTCCTTGTTAAGCTTGGAACGTGGAATGAACGTTGTGAAGCACAGCTCTGAAAAGTCAGCGAATTGCAGTTCCTCAGCAAGGGTACGTGCCAGGCGAAAGAAGTCAGTCACAGAATGATCTAGGTATGGTGGTTCCATATAACGTTAAACAATGACCGAAATAGAAAAATCTATCTAGATAGTCTTGGCATATCCATCTAGCCATTATTTTTACACTTGATCTTAGCCAAAAGGCCAAGAAGTGATAGCCATTATTTTTAATAACAACTGAATGGATGGGAAGATAGATGTAAACTAGGTTTCATGAGTTTTAAAAAAGTGAATCTAGTACATAATAGTCTTTGCTTTAAGGAGCTCAGAGATAAAATCCCAACCATCATGTGGTAAATAACACTCACAAATGTATAAACAAAGATGTGAGACCACATGGAAGGATGTTAGATGGTTTGAGGTAAGAAAAAAGAATCCTGAGTGTCTTAGCAAAGGTGAATTGCCCACTCTGGGTGTTTGCTGTTTGTTTTATCAACAGAGCAGCTTCTCCTTTCTAAAGACTAAGAATGGCTTCCTGTATAACTTGAAAGTTAACAAATCTTTCTCTCAGTTTGAAAAATAGATGTAACTATATGTATAGTTTAGGACACATGGATATTGAAGCTGTACTGAGAGCAGCAGAGTGGTCTCATACACAACCCAGTATCAGGTCTAAAATGACTCCTTGCTGACCCTCTGGTGAATTTTCAAAGCCCATACACTGCTAGCTTTCTCCCCAGAGCTACTAGTGTATTCGAGCCACCAGAGAGGGATGTGCAGCCTTTGAGTTAGCACTATTCCCCCTCCCTACAGATCAGGCCACCCCAGCAGTTAGTGCTTCAGGATAAAAAAAATTAAAATAAAAATCAAAGGCCTTGCGCTTGTGGAGTTGATTTCAATTCATGGTGACCTCATGTGTATTAGAATGAAATTGTTCTCCACTAGGGCTTGCAACGGCTGTTCTGTTGCACCACCCAAGCACTCCGTAATTCAGGATAACAGTGACTCATTCTGGAAAAGTGACCAAGGAGGACTGCAGAGAGTCTTTCTGGTCCATAAGCTAGACAGAAAGTGTGGGTATGTCTTTTTAAAAAACAAACAGTTAAAAAAAAAAAACAACAACAACAACAAAAAAAAACCAAACAGTATACTTATACAACTTTTGAATGTGTAATTAAAAAAATTTTTTTTAAATCTTTCACAACTAAAAAAAAAAAATCTTTCACAACTTATATTCATAAACTTTAGGGAGGTCTGGTAGCTTAGTGCGTAGAGAGTTGCACTGCCAACTCAAAGGCAGGCAGTTCAAATCCACCGGTACTCCAAGGGTGAGAGATGAAAAGTCTCCTGTGCAATTAGTCTCTGAAAACTCACTGGAGGGTCAGCTATGAGTCAGTTCTAACTTGATGACAATGCATCATGTTTGTGCCAAAAGATAATCCTTCTGTGCCCTATGGGACTCTAAACGCAGAACAGGGTAAGAACTCGCTGGATTGCACTTTGAACTCCACAAAGGATCTTACAAGGAAATAATTGTCAACCTTTATCCTCTCTCTCTGTGGTATTTAAGAACATAAAACCTAAGATTCATTTGAATAATCACCTAAAACTGTAGAAGTTCTCTGCTATGTTATCCAGGTTTGAGCTTCTAAACTCTAAATAAGAACCCAAATAATTAATTATTAAATACAGTAAATGAATTAAGTGGCTATCTAGGAAATATTAACAGCCACCCTGGCAAAGGTTGCCATGGTTCCTGATTACTGTTCTTGAACTCTGTAACTGCATCCCGCAGTGATGTAAGCATGGGAGTATTTAGTGGTTTCACAAATATTTATTGAGTACCTAGAGTACCAGGTTTTTGCTCTGCTAGGGAGTCTGGAAAACAGAGTCAGCAGTTGGTCCTGCAGCTCAGCCTAGGGCTGGAGAAAGACTGGTCAGTAGAACATTACAATACAATGTAGAGATGCAGACACAATGCTTTGGAAGCACTACTCTGCCAGAGGGGATTCGGAAGAGATACAGAAAGACAAAGGAGGATATGAGTCTGGAGGTACACAGGAAGGGAAAGTAGCTCATGCAAAGATGTTATTGTGGCAAGAGGCTGAGATGCACGGTTCAAATCCACCAGATGCTCTGCTGGAGAAGAAGGGGCAATCTCCTACTGTGCCAGTTGGATCTGACTCAATGGTACACAGCAAGAAAAGAGGGAAAACAACCAAAAACAAAAACAAAACCCTGAACAAAACAAACCTACTTAAAAAAAAAAAAAAGATGTTGTTAATGTACCATTGAGTTAGAAACAACTCACAGCTGACCAGTGAATTTTCAGAGCTAGTAAATAACAGGGGAGATTTCTTTCTTGAAGCAGTTGGTGGATTCAAACCATATGCTTTTGGTTTAGGTAGCACAACTCCTTACCACTAAGCTACCAAAGCTCCCTTTAAAGAGTACAAGGGCAAATTAGAGGGATAAGGAGTGCACAATTTGTGAGAAATCAGGGAGATCAAAACAAAACCAGAAAAAAACCCAACACTCCACACACCAAAAAACCCCGAGGCTAGATTATCAGATAGTTGTCCATTTGAGAAGTTTGGACTTTATCCTGAGGCAGTAGGAATGCTGAAACCTCAGGGGAGTGGCAGGATTAGATGTGCACTTTGGGAAGATCTTTGACACCTGTGGAGGATGGGCTGGAGGAGGGTGTGGAGTCCCAGGATCATTTAGGAGGCTTTTAAAGTGATCCAGGAGAAGGATGCTGAGGACTTGAGGGCTTGAACAGGGCAAAAATGTTTCTAGTTAGGGTTTCAAGGAGGGCTGGTGATGTAGTGGGTAAGCATTGAGTGACTAACTGAAAAATTAGTTGTTCAAAATCTGCATCTGTAAAGCTTTACAGCCTTGGAAACACTATTACACTTTGTCTTATATAGGGTTGCTATGGGAGCGCAGGAGAGGAAGACCCTCGATGAGATGGATTGATTCAGTGACTGGGGTAATGGGGGTAGGTGTGTCGGAGATGGTGAAATTGGCACAGGATAGGGCAGAGTTTAGGTCTGTTATACACAGGGTCGCTATGAGTGGCAGGCGACTCGACGCAACAACAACAACAACATGGGAGCACAGGAGAGGAAAACTCTGATGAGATGGATTGATACAGGCAATGGGGGTTGGTGTGTCAGAATTAGTGAGACTGGCTCAGGACAGGAAAGGGTTCAGAGCTGCTGAACATTGGGTTGCTATGGGTTGCAGGCAACTTGACGGCACATAAAAATAAACAACAGTGGGCTGGAACCAGCTTAATGGCAGGGAGGTTGGCTTATATTAAGGCTTCTTCCACCCCTCCAGAGTTCCAGTGGTTGTGTTTTCAGGGTTTGGGTGAGTTAAGGCAGGGAGGAAGGAATACATATGTTCATTCAGTATTAATTCAGAAAGAGCCTTCTAGAACACATTTTCTACCAGGAAAATGAAGCACACAGGTGAAGACTCAGGGACCTGAAGGAGGCAAGTGGCCAGACCCAATGTGCTTTCCTTCTGAAAACAGGCAGGGAGACCCACATTCAATTCCCTAGTGTCTACTGGGCACTTAACCTAGTTAGGGAGTTGCGATGTCAACTCAGAGAAAGGTAGTGTGAATCCTTCAACTGCTTTCTGGGAGAAAGATGGGTAATCTCCTTTCACACAGTTTACAGCCTCTGAAAACCCATTGGAGGGTCAGCTCTGAGTCAGTTCTGACTCCACAGCAATGAGTAATCTATGCCACTCTGAGGAAGCAGTAAGACAGGTCTATAACCGAATGGAGTTTATATTCTAAAGGTAGTGGCAAACTCACATTGTTAGGTGCTGTTGTGTACAATTCACAGCAAGCCTGAACCACACAGATCTGAACCCTGCCCTATCCTGTGTCATCCTTAAAATTGCTTCTCTACTTGAGCCTATTTGAGTTTCCCCCCTCTTTCGCGGATTGTCCACCTTTCCAAGCATGAATATCCTTTCCCAAGGACTGACCCCTCCTAACATGGCCAAAGTATGCGAGAAGCAGCTTGATGACCTTTGCTTCTAAGGGACACCCTGGTTGCACCTTCTCCAAGACATTTTTGTCCTTTCGGCAGTCTATGAGATGTTCAGTACCCTTTTCCAACACAATTTAAAGATACCAGTTTGAATAACCCACCCAAATGCACAAGATGTAGGAGAACAATTAGTGACTGGAGGGAGTTTGGATAGAGAAAGAGGAAGACTGAAAGATGTCATTGCACAAGTAAGATCTTTAGCCAGGCAATGGGAGACTTTTTTTTTTTTTTTTTAGTAATTTTAATAAACATTTAGAGAGATTTTGGATTTCTGTTCATTGCCGCACTGTTCTCCCTGCCCACCCCTAAAAATGCCTCGGAGTTCTGGCTTTATCTTAGTTTCAGGGTGAGAGAGCAGAGATGTGACAGTTTTGACAGTGGAGGGCCCTGAGGCTCAGGAAGGTTAAATCTGTCGCCTAAGGCCACGCCGAGTTAGGAGCAGACGGGCAGGACTGCCAAGTGCTGAGTTCAAACCTCTCGCGGTTTCCCTGACGAGCCAAGGCCGAATGGCTTCCCGTCGGGGGTCCCAGGTGGAGAGGACGCCGCCCTCAGCGTCCAGCCCTGCGGAAAGGTCAGGAAGGGTCCAGCTCAAGGACGCTCGAGCGTCCCGCGGGCGCGCACAGCCGCGGAGCCGGGGACCGGGGGCGCGCGCCGCGCCGCCCGCAGAGAGAACAGCCCACGAGGCGGGCGCGCGGGGGAACCCGCCCCCGCCGAGTGGTTCGCTCTGCACACCCCTCGCCGCGGCCCGAGTGCTGCGTCCCGCCTCACTTCCGGCTGCTGCGGCGCCTCATATCCGGTGTCCGCCCGCCCTCGCCGCCGCCGCTGCTCCGCGATGCTATCCAGGTCTCGCTGCGTGTCCCGGGCACTCAGCCGTTCGCTCACCGCCTTCCAGAAGGTACGGGCCGGCCGGGCAAGGACCCCGGCGGGTGAAGAGGCCTCCGGCGGCCGGACAGGCGGCCCAGGGGCAGGGGCGCGGCGCACGGGCCAGGCCGGACACCAAGGGCATCGGGACGCGGAG